TGTGTGTGTGTGTGTGTGTGTGTGTGTGTGTGTGTGTGTGTGTGTGTGTGTGTGTGTGTGTGCGTACGTGTGTGTTTGTGGCGGCAGTTGTCTATGTTTTGTTTTTTTCTGTTTTTTGTGTTTTTCATTTCTTTTTAAACACATATGAACCTTAAAAATAAAAATAAAAAATGTGGTTGTACTTTTTTTTTTTTTTTTGGTTGCCCACCAATCAATCTCCATGAAAAAAGAGAAAAACCCACCCATTTTATCTTTTTTTGTGTTTTTTTTTTCTTTATATGTTTTTGATTTTTATAAATATATGGCAAAACTTAAAAAAAAAAACAAAAAACATAGGGTTGTAGATCTCGAAAAGATGTACCCTATAGTTTTTGTGTTTTTTTTTGAGCAGTTTTTACCTGGAAAAAAAGAAATCCCTGCGCCCGCTCAAAAACTTTGAGCGTGGGATTGAGCGGTGGTCAAAAACTTCAGCGCCGACCGCGAGTTCGATCAGCACGCGGTTTCATAGCTGCAATATGGACCCCCGAAGACTGTTGTGAGTGATCGGGATACCCGGTTCACCGCAGACTAGAAGGATTTCACTACTCAAATCTATGATAACCGGACTGTTACTAAATTTCTCTGCATTCTTGTCATTCCGATCAGAACACTTGGGATGTAGAATTGCCAATTGTGAAGGGGTTATACAACAACTCCATTAACTCTTCCATCGGCATGACACCGAATCGGCTGCATTACGGATGGAAGGTACATCTTTTTTGTTTCTTGATTAGGCACCTGGTCTGACACCTGGCCACCTGGCCACAGTGCCATTTATGACCGCTTGCTCACAACTGCTGTTGCAGCAATCAACAAGCATCGGGAGGTCATGATCAAACACACTAATAAGAACGTCCACCTTATTCTAAGTGGGAAGTTATGTTTGGGTCTAGATGTTTGGGTTCTCCGAAGAAGAGGGAGTGTCGCGTAAACTCCTTCCTTTCTTTCTAGTTTGGCCCTTGGAAGGTGTTGAAGGTAGTGGGAGATGATGAGTTTGATCCTCCATACGATTTGCGCACTTATCCGACGCATCCAAACTGTTTTCGTATCGTGCTCCTAGTTCCTTTCCTTACCGTGAGTCTATGAGATCGACAAGATTGTGAGCCATTTTGGTAACGGACGTAACAGAGTATCAAGTTAACTTTTGTGCCACCCACTAGATGCTTTGTACTGGATTTCAAAGAAGGAATTGCTGCAAAGCGCACCCCGACTTATTACTTCTGATGCATAGCCAAAAATCAGTGCGACTCGCACTGCTGCGACGTATTTCAGATCCCTCTTCGCAATACGCGCCTACAATGCATTTTGCAGGGACTCTGAGTGAGTTACTCGCTCGAAGGGACCTCGCTCCTTAGGGGGGGGTAGTGGTAGTGTAATGACCCATCAAAACATAGACCAAGAACACTGCTGATTTCTGAGTTTTGCCATTGGAATGAATGCCTTGCTGAGACTCCCGCATTCTGCTGA